AATGGAGGTCAATTTCCCCCTTGTCAATGATACAGGACGGAGGGCCTGACAAGAACAGCTGTCTAGTCGTTCGGATGGAATGAAAAACCGAGGTCCCGTATGCACATTGGCGTGCATGTAAAAGATCCCTTGACAGTTGGAATTCGATATAAGAGTAGGCCGCAGTGCCGCTGTCCGGGCAAAATTTCCCTCGTAGCACACTATATGGCGTATGCCCGTTTTCATTAGCCCAGTTCGAAGCAGAACAATAGGGCGTTAAACTCCATTTCAATATGGCATTTTACTTGAATTCGATGGATGAAATAATACTTATGAGATTGTAGAAAAGCTAGATTAATGAAGTACCCACGCACTTTATCGTCAGTAAATGTTATCAAATGCTAGACTTAATTGCGAAATCGATACAATATATACGTAATCGATTCCAGTAAAATCGGATTAATGAAATTTATCCGTGCCCTTTACCTTTCGTGAAAAATAATTAAACGCCAAGTGGATAAAGAGTGTTCAATGTCGGCTTATTAATTTGGGAAATTTAGGAGAAGACTTATTACTATTCTATCGACCTACTAATGAAGGGTTGCGTCCGAAGTCTAGGATGAAATTAATATAAAACGTCGCTATTTAATTATACGCCCATTTTGTAATCTGTTCTGTTTGGATGGTCTAGTGGTTTAACGCGTGCGCATGAAATCACAAGATATGTCATTGAGTCAAGTGGCGTGATTTCGATTCCCCGCTTGAACGTGACAAGGATTAGGGTAGCCTGTCGAACCTCGTAGGTTTTCTCCGGGTCCTCCGGTTACCTTCCCACTTCTAAAGACCCCTACACGCAAGCGAATTATTGAAATAAAATTGAACCATATGTTAGTCCCGAAATGACCTAGTTTGTGTCGAGTGGACGTTAAACGACATGCAGAGTGCTATGAGGAAAATTTTACCCGAAACTGGTACTACGGTGTATCTTTTACTTTAACTGTCCAACTGACAAGGGTCATTTTACGTGTACCCTGACCCCCCTCCCCCCTCTCTCTCTCTAATTCAGGCGGTATTTCTGAATAGACTCTCTGTCGTTTTTGGAATTACGTCAGTCGAAGAAATATGTGGCTAGTGGGCAATGCCATTTTACACGGAAGGATATAGTTCCATAATCGCCTCAAAGTTGCCGTAAAAGGGATATGACTTCATTTCCGGTAATATGTAAGAAGACGATAAGACATGATTGTTGTATGTGTACAAACGTATGGGTATCTCACCTAACATCTTCTGTGTGTGAAATAGCTTTATTTAACGCCCGCTTCCACCGACGTGATATCGCAGACAAACTAACATGTTCTATTTCCATTTGCCACATATACCAATGAATGTGGGCTTCATTCCGCCATACTTGGATTACACTAAAAACCAAACACGCTTTAGTCTCAAAATGTCGGCAGTATTGTCTTGGGGAAATGTTATTCCCCACATCCCCGCCCACTTCTGTCAACTGCATTCACACGAGCCTAGTGTATAATACCGGCCCATTTCAACATGAGACAATTTTTTATAAGTGTCCTGACCTTTCAAATATGCAATTGTATTGGCCTTATTGGGTATAGTCTCATTCTTACGTGGTTTATAAGAGGTTTTAGATGGCTGTTATAATTGTATGGGCCAAGTTCAAGGGATCAGATATAAACATGAATAGATGGGATTGGACTTGGGCCAAATAATTATAAAAAGGTATAGAATGACCCGCTTAATCGGGTTGAATATATGTATTCAATCCCGTATTGTCAACACACATGTATATTGTTAATGAAATGGCCCTGACATTGAAATCTTTCTTTCTTTTTTTTTACCCGTTATCGAAATTTCACAACTTCAATAACATAATTACGTCGTTTAAAATTTGAAATGTGGGCGCAATAATTAATAAAGCGCATTATATAATGTACGACTGTGTAACGTCATTATCTTATATTCTATTTTTAGATTGTAATTTATTTCCCTGTTGTAGTAAAACACTGTGGCTTAATTCAACAAGTCTCCATGTAGGTCAGTGGTGAAGCAACAACCTAATTTGAGAAGGTTGTACATAGACACTCCTTTGTACAAAATAAAATTGTTGAACGTTAAATGGGTGTTATACAGTATAATAATACGTATGACATACGTTTCGTTAGACGTAGGTGTAACGGTAAATATAATACATTACAAACGAATTAATGAAATGAAATTGGGGTTTAACGTCCAACTGTTTTTCGCTAACCGGGAAAACGCCATGCAGTATGTTGTGGGGGGATATTTTGTCTAGGCAGCGGCGTTATACGGTCTACTCTTATTTCGAATTCCAGCAGTCAAGGCTTCTTTTACACGGGAACTCGGTTTTTCGTCTCATCCGAACGACTACAAACAAATAAAGAACACCACACAATGCGAAAAAATAATTAATAAAACGACCTTAAAGTTAATTGATAACAACTGAAAAGTTATATATTTTAAATCTACCAAATCGCTGTAATGTGTTTAAACTAGGAACATCCGATAACAATTCTCATTTTATAAGGAAAGTTGATACAAACAACTCGTTTCAATAATGTTCTTGCGCGAATTGTCTTAAGCAGTAGGATGAAACGGAGAGACGTGTGAAAATCCACGAGTTTATAATCATATTGTACATGATCGAACACTTGATTTAATGACACCACTGCCCCCCCTCCCCCTTCCCCTTCCCACCTCTCATGCACCTCCCATGCCTTTGTATTTAAATCATGCCAAGCAATCATGTCCTTACAAAAATGTCTCACTTTACAATTTGAATTTGTTTCAACCCCTTAAATCATACTAACCCTGGAGAATAATTCATTTAAGAAGAATAATTTATTGATATTTCTGAAACTATCAAACCACATTCATAAATACGCCTAGTTTAATGCAGTTTGGCAAGTTAACAAACTGTCTCAATTACCCTTGTTTCATCTGCCCTTAAATATTACATAGTGATAAAATGTCTCAATTGTTTATTACCAACGATGATATTTCATCTATTTGTCAATAACATTTATGAAATAGTCTATATCATGTATATTATTATCACAACATGAGCATCATACCATATAAATCAGGTCACACGTTAAAGGCCCACCTTCACGCCTAAACAAGAAAAATCGACCGAATAGAAGTAGATAATCAACAATCTTAAGTGGTATGGTATAATCTATTTACGGAAATGACGTTATATGTGCGTATCTTCCAGTAGCTTAGATGCCTAGGGATCGCAGAAGTTAAAATTGCACCACGTAAATTTCTCACCAATATCGTTTCGTTATGAACTAATCGTAATAGAACGATTATCTATTTCAGGAAATGACGTCGTGATACTGGACCAATCTTACGATAACGAAGACTTTTATGATATCCAAGAAATTTTAAACCCCCTTCCATATCTCATTCCAATATATATCCATATAAATCAACAGTTGATATTAGATACAAAACCAACACTCGAGACCGGATATCGCCATTTCAAAACCTTTTGATTTTTTATTTTGCGATATGTAAAAGGAACATCAGACTTTAATATAACTGAATTATTTTCAACGCTCTAATTAATCGATCCTAAAAAAAAGTTCACCTCATTTTTTTTTTAAAGTTCCGCTTTGGTGAATTTAATATGAGATAAAGTACATATTCGCCGTGTTCAGAGAGAGAGAGAGAGAGGGGGGGGGGGGTAACATCCACTCAACACAAACTAGGGACTAAAGTATGGTCCAGAGAACCCAGAGAAAACCCACGAGATTTGACAGGCGATCCTACTCCTTGCCACGTACAACCGGGGAATCGAAACCACGCCAGTTGACTCAATGACAGACCTTCTGATATGGCGCACGCGCTAACCATTCGGACCTGCGTCCCCTACGACATATTTAGTGAAACATAGTCGCGTGTTATTAATATGCACATGCCGTGATTTAATATTTCAGTTGCCCCATTCAATGTTTAGTTTAATATCCATATCTTTAAATAACCCAAATATATAACAGATACGGTACTTGGGGAAGAAGGAATCCCGAAATTAAAAAAATTATCTCAAAATATTTTTGATTATTTTACGAAAATTTAGTCTTGGGGTAAACGGGGTGTCTAAAAAAACTATCGGTTCTGAAAGGTAGGACGTGAAACCTCATTTCATTTCTAAAACAAACTACGTTTATTTCCGTATAACATATCCCGAGACCTTAAGAAATGAGCAAAATGGGGTTTAATGTCGTATATTTCAGGAAACTAAAATCGCAAATTCGAATATAACATTGAGTTTTCATTCCATGGAAAAAAAATCATCAAAAGTTAAATAACACTAAAACGTTTAAACGTTAAAACATTCAGCTGAACCATATATCTAATGAAAAAATATAAGCAAGTTTATCGAGAGTTCACAACAACACAACGACGTTCAGTCGAACATGGCTGACATCTTCGTGAAATTTAGAAAACAGATCTAAGGTGTGAATGAAATTTCATGGATGTCGCAGAAGATCTATTAATAAATCGCAAACCATACATCAGACGTAAAACAAAAACGCAAATAGATCAACGAACTTTAGTAAGATATAAATAAAGAAACAGATGACATCCATGCGATGAAATAGCAGCTTTATTAAGTCGATATTTATATACTGAAACGAGTAATGCGATGGTGTAAGACATATTGATAGGTTGGTCGCTACGGTAAATTGTGACGCCGTAGCGGTTCGAATGAATGGACTCTTTCATTGCTGTCAGTAAATGTCATTCACTAGCCTTCAATTGACTTGGCTCTTTGCCAACATAACTGTGAAGCGTACTTGAGTTTAAAATAGTAACAGTCGTCATTTCTGACCAATCAAATAGCGCGTTACTATCACGTTCTACTTTTAGAAGGAAGGCGGGCTTTGTTTGTTGTGTGAGCGCGGTTATGATTGGCTATGCGGTATCTATCTGTTTACACTCGGTCTAGCATAAATTTAGGTCTAGTGGCTGTTTGATTTGCTTCATATTCACTGAGAGGGCTAAAGCGACCGAACGTTTGTGTGTAGTTTGTAAACCAAAGGGAAAAAAGCAACCAAAGCCCTCAATATAGTGTTCTATAATTCTACGAAGCGATACATTGGAAATAAACAGTGCTAAACGGAATAAGTCTTTATTAACTGGATTACTACCCGAGTATCTCACAATATATGTCAACGTGATTCTTCAGCAAAAAAAGAGAGACCACTAAACCACGTTGGTTCAACATACCCATTTGTTTTGGGTATATCTTTCACCCAAAAGTGACTGCTTTCTATTCCGATGCCTTGCCTGGAAAGCGTGTATAGCATGACGAGCGACATACTTGGAGACTTCTACAGTCCCGATCGGCTACATGGGGACATCAAATCAGATGATAAAATCCTGATGCTGGATTGTCGATGTCAGTCGGACTACGCTCGGAGTCATGTTGTGAATTCGATCAACGTAACCTTGCCAAGTTTATTGGTGAAACGACTAAGGAAAGGAATATTAAACATGTCCGCCATCATCCACAACAATGAGGATAAAGACAGGTTTAATAAATATTGTAAAACACATTTAATTGTACTTTACGATGAGTGCTCCACGGACTTGAACGCCAATCCTTCTAGCATAATAAATCTTTTAGTCAAGAAACTTCGACAAGATGGCTGCCGCGCAACCTTTCTCCTTGGTAAGACATTTTAGCTTATATTACTATTTACCCGACGAGAAACGAAAAGGGTCACACAAGGTTGGCCTGGATATTTTGGTTCATATATTTACAATTATATATAATTTTGACACAGAAATAAATAACAAAATAAGTAACAAAATAAATAACAAAATAATTGTAAACATAAACGGGACCGGTAAATGTCAAATTAAATGAATCCAAAAAGTGGTTCTTGATTTTAAGTATTTTTTTATTCTTTTTAATTTCAGGTGGTTTCACAACTTTTGTGCAGCGTTTCCCCGAATTTTGTGTTTCTCCCGAAAATTCTGAAAACTCTATAGTAGGACTATGTAACTTACGGATATCCGAAGATTCAGCGTACGGCACATCAAGTGACAGTGAAAACGATGGTACACCTTGTTTACAGTCTCCCTTCCCCGTCCAAGTGTTGCCACATCTCTACCTTGGAAACGCCAAAAACTCAGCCGATCTTAACCAGTTGAAACAAAACGGGATCCGCTACATTTTGAACGTTACCCCTAATGTGCCAAATATGTTCGCAAACGACGATTCGTTCAAGTATCGACGAATTAACATCAGTGACCATTTGTCTCAAGATCTCTCCGAGTTCTTCCCAGAAGCTATCGCCTTTATTGGTAAGTATCTATAACCCGTAATTCCTATTACTTAAAAGATACTTCGTGGTTAAGTTGATCGGATTGGATGACAATCGGATTAACAGCTAACGTAATGGTCTTGATTAAAGTCTTGATGAATGAAATAAACCGTGGCACCTGCCCGTGGCCACACTAAAGGTCAAAATGGTGATCGGCGAGGGCTGTCTTTTCAGTAAAGTAATTTGCTGTTCTTTTACAACAAAATCAACAATCAAACTTTATTTTCACCCGTTCTTAAAGATCGGTGTATGTATGTCAAAATAAAAACAACCGAATTCACCAAAAATGATTATGACAAAACCGTTGGTCGGAATGATCATCTATCAAAAATGGAGACGCCTTTGATCAAAATCTCATTCACGTAGACCTATAATCCTACTAGCTAGCCATGTGTTTCTTATTAGTCGAATTTCACTACAAAAATAACGAGGAAGGTGGTTCGCCATTTATTTTGACTGGTATATGCCCGTAATTTGACTCCTTTCCTTACATTCATTAAATTTATTTGAATAACCCAGTTAGTGAAATCTCGCTTCCGATTTTCCATTTACCGGTGTGTTAACTGTTACCAGAAAGCTAACCCAGTTCATCTTTTATTTTTAATACTGTGTAGGCGTATGGCCTAATTTATACAGATTGACAAACAAGAAAGGGCAAGGGTGTGTGATAAAAACGACTATTAAAACGCCTAAAACACTATCTTTAGATTAGATTTTATCATTGGTATAACGTTTTGGGCAAGTCCTCTCAACAAATTGTATATACTAAGATTGAATATACTCGAATATACAATGAATACAAATGTCTCAACGTCACATATTATACAAAAGTTGTCCTGAGGCGCTCTTTGGCCTAATTGAACGCACTAGCATTTAGAACATGCTTATTTCGCCTTAGGCCATAACGCTATTGTACAAAATTTTGCATGATAAATTAATGCTTGTTGTTTAAGTATACGTGAAGACAGAGTATGGTAATTAAATGTCAAGAAAATCGTGATTCTCATATCCCCATCTCATTAACCACTCTTATTAACCATTGGCAATGAATAATTCAAAAGATGCACTCTCAAATCGTGGACTTTAAAAACATGACACTTAAAACACAGTTAATGTATTCGCGAGTTCGTGGATTTACAAATAAATTGGTTATGAATTCATGGAATTAAAAAACCAAAATGGTTGTGAAAACGGAAACTAACGATAAATGAAAATGAAAAACCTCGGGAATTTTAAATAATGATAGGTAAAACAATTAATGAATTCATGAAATATGATCGTGAAATACTAAAACTTGCGGTATATTAAGAGAAAAAGCATTGAGATTTTCGGGTCCCATGCACTTTAAATGAGAATTTAAGCATTGCTTGACATTTGCGATATATAAAAAGAAAGTAAATTGTGCTAGATGTGCCCACGTCATCTTGTCATGCGATCTTCGACCAAATCCGTAGGTGTAGATTTTACCGAGCTAACGGTGCACCTCGGGGAATTAAAGACACTTATATTGATTATTGGCGACCAGGTTAACCAGTGATCTTTTCGAGTAAAATAACTGTATTAAAGCATTCGTGAGAAGTCCTATTTATCTGGACTAAATAATGGGATCACGATTCATTGTTACAATTAAAGATCTTCGCGTGATGCTTATAAAACGCAGGGATACGTGCAGCGAGAGTCGATTGACCTCCGACTACTTATAACCTAAGCTTATTGGACTGTTCAAACTAAACTAAATTTCTTGTCGCCATTGAATCTTTTCATAAGTCTGTCTAGCAATCGAAAAGTTTCGTGAATGCTGACAGATGAATGGTGTCCCAGAGTAATGGAATGAGAATATAGCGACCTCAATGTTGTTGACATTTAATTTCTAACTCGTTTTCCATTAGCCTAACCACTCTGGCCTCGATATTTATAAATAGATTGGATGTGGGTGAAAAGCCTTTAGACGAAGCGAGGTCAGGTTTCCTGTCGAGATTTTAGCTAGTGGGATATATGTATACATACACAACACTCGCTTCACTATATACATGTATAATATCTACCCTCCAAATACACCACGTGATGTACACGAGGCATCCAGCTGGGTGTAATTGACAACTTCCTGTTTATTGAAACCCAAAGCAGACGATCTTTCTGACTGCAAGTTGCCCGGATGTGTGACCTCCTTCATCATGGTTATTTAATAAGCTAAACTCTTTCAATTTCACGTGTTCAGAAATCCATAAATAAAGGTATGGTTCTTTGAGTATGAAGGCAGACATTGATAAAACATGTCTCCTGACGGTAATAAAACGCTTAGGTTTATCAAGATGGGAAAGCCATTATTTCATACTGCTATCACCATACAAAATATATGTAAACAAACCAACGTTTAAAAGACAAAATATTCATGGATGTTTTTATTTGTGTTTTTCAGATGAGGCCCGAGAGAATAATTGTGGTGTTCTGGTTCATTGTTTGGCGGGAATCAGCCGCTCCGTGACGGTGACCGTGGCTTATCTCATGAGCAAAAGAAACATGACCATGAACGAAGCCTACGATTTCGTCAAGCGATGCAAGCCTAATATCTCGCCAAATTTCAATTTTATGGGACAATTATTGGACTTCGAAAAGATCTTACATGGTGATAATTCACCGTCGCAGTCGGGTGGACGATCGCAGTATCGCAATTTTGAATTTTGTAACAGAAATACGATGTCTCAGAATTCTGGGAATGACGCACCGCCATTAACTCCGGCTAGTCCCGTGTGAAGCGTTCTTAACAGACTCGATTGGTTACAATTAATGAGCTTGGGGTGGTTTTGTCCACGTCCATGGCATTAAAGCTAATATGGCGCTGAACCAGAGACAAGAGGTCCGAATTCTACACAAGGGCCAGTGGGGCATGAAAGCCCCGAGTTCCAACTGATATTAATGGTAATAGCTAAAATGAGCCGAAGAGTGCCGATTCGCCACATAATTGAACTTAGATATAATCGAACAAAGCAAAGGTGGCCGTATGGGACTTGTTTATCGAGCAGTGCTACGAGAACTTTCTTGTTGAAAAAAACAAGAGAAGTATTGATGTCTTTCAGTGTGTATAATGTAACTTTATAATAATATTATATTAGAAGAATTGTTGGTGCATAAGGCAGCTAAAAGTGATGTTAGTAGAGTATACAATACCACTTTAATCATGTTCATTGTTCAAAGAGTCAGCTGTGTCGTTCTGCATTTCTAGAAATTTAATATAGATTAATAAGACTTTTTAAAAGACTTATAAAAAATTGTTGAATAAGAAATCGTTAATTAATTAATTAATTAATTAAATTTAATTGTTTAGTTTTTTTTTTCGTCCAAATGTTATGTGAAATCTGCATTGTTTAAAATCGTTCAAGTTTGTTGACATTTTATGGTAAAGGAGTGCGACAAGGCGAGCGTTCCTATCCACTCCTTTTCATTTTGTTTTTTGTTGACTATTAAAAATATATTTAGTGCTGTTGAATCAAATAATTGTTAAGATATTTTTTAACGATAAAAATGTATGAAATTTTAAAATATAGCATAAATATTTTTGCTAAGTATTTGTGATGAAGAATTCAAACTTAGAGAATGAGGAATAATTAGAATGTATTTGGACTAGTACAAAGCATTCCGACATGTTGATATTTATTTACAAAAAGTAAAGAATCAAAGAAAATGAATTATTAAATCATAATATCAAAATATATATCCATAGTCATTAATTTCATCTTTTCTGTTCATGTACATCCTTCAAGATATTCTGATTACCTCGTTGTTTGAAACACGTTGTCATTATATTTTATACACAAGATTAAAGATTGAGTATATATGTTTTCTATAAATAGTTGTGGGCTTATTTTTATACCCTGGTCCGCTCCCTTGGGAGCCACGGTGGCTAGGTGATTAAGACGCTGGCTCGCTAGCCTGGAGGTCGGGTGTTTGATCCCTGCATTGGCCGAGAAAGTTCATCCAGATTTTCCGACGTGGTTTCCCCTTGTCAGTGGTGCAGGACGGAGGGCCTGACAAGGACAGCTGTCTAGTCCTTCGGATGAGACGAAAAACCGAGGTCTCGTGTATATATTGGAATGCACCTAAAAGATCCCCTGACAGTTGGAATTCGATATAAGAGTAGGCGATAGTGCCGCTGCCCGGGCAAAATTTCACCATAGCACACTGTATGGCGTATGCCAGTCTTCATTAGCCCAGTATAGGAACAGAACAATTGGATGTTAAACCCCATTTCATTTCATTTCATTTTGGTTCGCTCCCGGTGTTGACCGAATATGGCTTGGGCCAAGAAGAATCCCAGGATTTTCCAACCCAGTTCCCACTTGTTGCCTATTTGTTCTGATCGAACGAAAAACCGAGGTCCACCTGTCACCTGTATACATCTAATGAGATCTAAACATGTTTCTGAGTGCCTGACAAGGACAGCTGTCCAGTCGTTTAAATGGGACGAAAAACCGTCCCTTGACAGTTGGAATTCGATATAAGAGTAGACCGTAGCGCCGCTGTCCGGACAAAATTTCCCTATAGCACATTGTATGACGTAAGCCCGTCTTCGTTAGCACAGTCGGAGCAAGACTGTAGGACGTTAAACCCCAAGTCATTTCATTTCATTTCTTATACTGATATCCCTTCTGTTGAAACGGGGAAAAGGTTAATAACACTAAAGCTGGGATGTGTATATCGAACGATTTTAAAAAATGATGAATTTAGTATATGATGCGGACGTTAAACCCGAGCCTATCTGCAATAGCAGTGATATTGGAGTCGTAAACTGGTTTCACCCCCCCCCCCCCAAAAAAAAACAACCCAACCCACTGGCGATCTTTAAGCCAGGTTAACCGTATCTTCCGAACGCAAAAGTGCGACAAATAAATCAGTTTAAAAAAAGCTCAGCTCCCGCGACCTGTCCTCGAGAAGGCGTGTTGCACAAAAAGCCCTCACCTGTCTTGGTCACATGAACAAGTCGGCTTAAAAACATCGGCTCCAGCTAGGGCATGCGCACAGGTTTTCCCTTGCCGGTGGTGCAGTAGGAATTGGGGTAGGAGGGGGGGGGTTGCTGGTAGTTCATTTGAGACATGTTGGATGTAAAAATAATAACCAATTCATTTCCGTCTGGAAGACGATGAAGAATAGATGGAAACGCCGTTTGTCCAGCAAAAATTCCCGTAAAACAAACTACATGGCGCATATCCGTCGATAGTGTCTCTTTAGTATCTTTATTAATCCCTGCCTGCAATTCATGTTCATTTAAACGTGGATCACCCACCTAATAACATTGTGTTCGACCCAATCTGGTTGCCCACCCCTGTCTGAAATACAGACATTGTTTCGTAACCTTCATTCGCGATTATCCAGCCAAGCCCAAGGTTTGTGGTGAATTTAGGCCAAAGAAATATAATGTGAAAAAGAGAAGATTAATATTATTTTGATAAAGTAGTCTTGTTTAAAATATGACATTGCTTAATGCTGCTGTATTCAAGCACATTACACCGGATATTCGATCGCCCGAGGTAAAGACATTTAGACAGTATTATTTGTCTATACTGAAAAGTTGAGATTTTTATAAGTCGTTAATGTTTTAACCTTTTCATCAAATGAAGGTGACAACTTTAATACATTTAGCATAATATACTAGGAGGTTGAGTGGCTTTTTTATATCAAATGGTTTGTCATTGAGTCAACTGGCGTGGTTTCGATCCCAGGCGCCTACTAAACCTTTTAAGGGTTTCTCTTGGTACTACGCCCCCATCACACCAATTGTAGTGTTAGTCCCGAAATGACCGTTTGCGTTGAGTGAGCTCTCCCACCCTCTCTCTCTTTCTCTGCTTCATGCACGACATTTATTACTACGCAGGTGGATCACGGTGGGTAAGTGAATAAGACCCTGGCTCGCTAGCCTGGAGGTCGGGTGTTCGATCCCTGCATTGGCCGAGAAAGTGCATCCAGATTTTCCGGCGTGGTTTCCCCCGTGTCAGTGATGCATGAAGGGCCTGACAAGGACAGCTGTCTAGTCGTTCGGGTGGGACGAAAAACCGAGTTCCCGTGTACACATTGGCGTGCATGTAAAAGATCCCTTGACAGTTGGAATTCGATATAAGAGTAGGCCGTAGTGCCGCTGTCCGGGCAAAATTTCCCTCATAACACACTGTATAACGTATGCCCGTCTTCATTAGCCCAGTTCGGAGCAGAAAAGTAGGGCGTTAAACCCCATTTCATTTCATTTCATTTCTATTACTACGCATGCGGCATGCCTTAACGCAATGATACTGTAGCCTACAAGGACATTGTGTGGCTTTACGCAATACCAAACACAACTCGTGAACCGTTTAAAAAACTAGACATAAACAAACTCGAATGATTTTAAACAGGTAATTACTTACATAAATTTTACATTTGAAGCGCTATAAAAAAATGCACTCAGCTTGACGATAATTGATATGTGCGTTATTGGTTTTTTTTCCGGGCTCAGCTTCGTTTCATTCCATTTATTGTGGCTGATTTTATCTTTAGTACCTGATAAAATATTAAAAGTTAGTCATTAGTGTATATGGTTGAATTTATTGTTAGAAGCAAAAGTCGAGTCGTCCTTGGATGTTTTTCTATTGTTTATGTTATATAACGCCGTTTGTTTTCATAACCGCCATTGTTGTTGAAACTGGTGAAATGCAATGGAGTTTAACGTGAACTGAAAAGAAATAAGGTTTAACGTCTCACTGTTCTGTGCCGACTGAGCTAATGCAGATAAGCATACGCCATATAGTGCACTATGGGGTTTAACGTCCTACTGTTCTGCTCCGGCGAACGACATTGCAGGTGGCAAGACAGAAGAGCGAATTTCCGTGCTTATCGTCGTATAGAAAACCCACGAGGTTAGGCAAGTGACAATACTTCCTGTCACGTACAAGTGTGTACCACGCGATAATGACAGACCTTATGTTCTAAAGCGCATGCGTCAGGCCATTCCGCCCCACCCCCTTACAAAAGCAGAGTGTGCTTCCTTTGTTCTAGCATAAATTTACACAATTTGTTATTTCTGGAATCCACATAGCCTTCACTTTGTTTTTCTTTGTACGATATGTTTATTTTATTATTATTATGTTTTTAAATAATATTAACTTATTTTTAAATTCCTGTAAATTTCTTTTCCTAGAACAGAATGCGCAGTGCAAATTAGGCTACGATGTCATTGATTTGTTTTTGTTATTATCAAATATTGAAATAGTTCCCATATTTCCCATGACAGTATATATTGCCATATATCTGGATTCTTCCTGTATGTTATCAATATTTATAGTTGTATTGACGATAGACTATAATAAATTTGAAAATTTGTGTTTATAAAGCAGGTGGGGGGGGGGGCGAATGGTTAGCACATGCGGGCTGCATCATAAGGCCTGTCATTGAGTAAACTGGCGTGGTTTCGAATCCCCGGTTGTACGTGACAAGGTGTAGGGTCGCCTGTTCAACCTCGTGGGTTTTCTCCGGGTCCCCCGGTTTCCTCCCACTGCTAAAGACCCCTACGCGCAAGCGAACTATTGAAATAAAAATAAAACATACGTTAGTCCCGAAATGACCTCCCACTGCTAAAGACCCCTACGCGCAAGCGAACTATTGAAATAAAAATAAAACATACGTTAGTCCCGAAATGACCTAGTATGTGTCGAGTGGACGTTACCCCCCCCCCCCTCTCTCTCTCTCTCTCGGCGAAGTCACCCATAGAGAAGTCAATCAATAAATAAAACGTAATTTAGAAAAAGTGATGCTAGAGACACAGGTTTTGACTTCCCCAATACATGAATAGGGTAACCCGATCGATGTAAAGCGATGCTTGGATTGGTAAGGATTTAATTGTATATTATGGTACGCAAATGAAATGAAATAGGGTTTAGCGTCCTACACCGACTGGCCTAAAGAAGACGGACATGCGCCATACATTCTGCTATGGTGTAAAATTTGCCAGGACGCGATTTTTTTCCCAACTCACCCAGCATTGCACTTCCATTCGGTCTCTGATTGGCTGGAAGTTTGACGTCATATTCAAAGTAAAAAATGTTTTTCGTCAGTTATATGCAATTTGGCAAGATACACTACGCCGAACATAGGCTCGTACACAGTATACAACTATGCCATGGGGCCTTTACTGCAGCCAAGTAAAAAGCTAGAGGCCTGCAATTTTTGGTATTATAGCCTCTCATTCTGCATACAGAGATCCATCTTCTTCATACTTCGAGAATAAATCTCTGTCCTGAATGGCCGCCATGTCCAAAAAATAGTATATTGTTTTATAATGCGGTTCTACTCCGTTTCACATCTGGCATACACACAGAGACTAAATAAACCTATTCAATTCCAATAAATGGGAACAGGAAAAAATTCTCACAATTCTCGAAGTATACTTGGTGTTTTCGACTAAATTCGTCGATTTAGGCCTTAAAATGTCGGACAACTAGTTTAGTGTCCGTTGTCTGTTCTCAAGCGGAGCTAACTGTAGACAGGCAGTCTAGGTTTAGTATGATAGCCTCTATGATGTTATATGGTTCTGTTATGTAGGCTATGTGTATAGTGCGTGAATCGTAGGTAACTTTTTGTTTCAATTAGTAGTAGTAACAGTAAATTGTTGCCCGGACAGCGTCATTTCGACCTACTCTTATTTCAAATTCCAACCCATGTCTGAGCGACTGTGCGGCATCCCTTGCCAGACCCCCCGTCCTGCACCACTGACAAGGGGGTGGGGCACACCTGTAAATCCAGATGAACTGCCTTGACCAACACCGCGGGATCGAATACGGGACCACCAGGTTATCGAGTCCACTCATCACTCCCTGAGCCACCG